GAACTAAAACAGTGGGAGGAAGAGACAGAAGAAAGAAAAGACTTAGATTCCATCAGACCAGAGAGCATGCCCAATCCTGATCTACAGATGGATCCTGGTCACAAGAAATTACCAGAGGGTGAGGAGAAAAGCATGGAAGACAACCTTAACCTGCTTAATCGCAGGTTGAGTGCTGATGGTGGAAATGACAGTAAGAGATACTCTAAGGCAATCAATGAGATGCCAGCCTTGACTATAGAGGAAAAAATTGAAAGGGAAAAACAAGCCAGAATAAAGAAGCAGAAGAGATTACAAGGCTCAAACCTTGAGAAAATGGGAGTAACTGTGTTTTCAAGGAAACTGAGTTTGAAATCTACTTCCGTACAACATACAACATCCACTTCTTCTGTGGACTCTTCAGATCCACAGAACAGCCAAACAAATCTTAACCCACATCTACAAAGGAAAAATCAATCCAAAAGTGGGGATAACAGTGTCACAACTACTCCTAGAAGCCATAGACCTAGCTTTGGATGCAAGAACCATACTGAAACAGCCAGCATAATCACCAAAGAGAAGACAACCAGACCTCATTCAAATTCATCAAATACAACTGAAAAAGGTAAAAATAATAAAAATTCTAGTCTGCAACAGAATTATAAGAAATCTGTACGAAACAATGTCACCAGCACAACAGACTTTGAAAAAGAAAACTTCAATGTAAAAGATTCCAAGATAACCATAGGACAGCATGCAAAGAAAGCATCGGACAGCAGCAGGGGACAAAACTGTGGCAAGGGAAAGTATGATAGATTACTCAAGAGACTGGAGGGTAGTATATCAGAAGTGTTTGCTAATAAACTGGCAGCAGCTCCTCCAAAAGTCAAGTAAAGTTCCTAGTGCATCAGTACTAAATACTAGTGCATGAGTTCTCATGGGTATCATGGTGATAAGCTGGTAGCAGCTCTTCAAAAGTCATCTACTATATGTATAGTGCATCAATAGGCTTGTGCAAAAAAGCTAGAAGCAGCAGGTCAAAAGGTCAAGTCCTAGTGCATATGTACAGAATCCTAGTGCATCAGTACTCATGGGGATCATTACATAGTGCTTGTTTGTATTATAATTGTCACATATTTTGTGAATCATTGGTCCAGAAGTTGTTTTATAACTGATGTTTATATTTCCAATTTTTCATTATCTTCTTTAATTCATACACAGTTTTTTTAATGTGGCGGAAATTCCCAGATTTTGTTATTATAAATTTATGTACTTTTCATGTAATTTTAAAATTTACACTTTTTTTCAGTTGTACCAACGCATACAAAATGCAGTATATTAAAAGAAAAGGGATCTTTTATTGATAACAAATCAAATATTGGTGATAGCGATAGTGTTAATATCAATTAACAGGGTTTTTCTTAAGATTATCATGGGTTTGTTTACATTCTTTAAAGTACATAAAAATTTTCCTATATATTGAAAGCAATTTCTGTATGAAATCAAGAGAAAAATGTTATTTTTTTCTGTTAATTCTTTACTGAAAATTGTTGTTCATTTAACTAATTGTCTTGTGATATTTCTATGTGGTGCTAATTAAATCTACAAATCATTTGTACTTCTCTATTTATTTGTTTTGGTGCTTTTGCACTTTATTTCTACTCTCTCCACTATTACCTGAATTAATAGGTTTTAACCTGTGAACTTGAGACCTGAATTAATAGGTTTTAACCTGTGAACTTGACCTTGAGACCTGAATTAATAGGTTTTAACCTGTGAACTTGACTTTGAGACCTGAATTAATAGGTTTTAACCTGTGAACTTGACCTGAATTAATAGGTTTTAACCTGTGAATTTGACATTCAACACTTCATCTTTCTCACATTCAAAGTTGAACCAATTTTATCTTTAGGAGTGAAATTATTGTGAAAATTGTGCAATATATTTCAACCTTCAGTTGAAGGCTTTCAAAAAGTTTAGGAAATTTGAATTTATCCAGTGAAATACCGGTCAGCGTTACTTCAACTAAGATGCATCTCTCAACACTAAATTGGCCTAACTATTATCCATGGATTTATCAGCCTATTTTGGGAAACACCATTTTTGGGGAATTGGGAATAAATTATCGGCTATTTGATGAAATTGGAAAAAATTTTAAAATGTTACTTAAATCCTGTATTCAGGGGTAATTCATTTAACGTTTCAGTGTGAACCCTAATTTGGGCAACCAAACGACAATTAAATATGATCCATCTTCATCATACAAGATCAATTATGAATAATAGACTAATAAAAGTAAATTTGACTTCAATGAGTGTAAAGCATTTATACAACTTAGGGTAGTACATGTGTGTATGAGATTTCAATTTAGGTCATATAGTTTCTGTTTCTGGAGATTATAAACCTCCTGCAAAAAATTAAACTAAGTACACATTTTCTAAAAGTCCTCTTTTAATATGTATTAATGCATTGAAAATATATTTTTCTATCTGAAAGAATGCTTAAAGTCCTTCCCATTCACTCGCAGATCAATTGAGAAGGTGGAAATAACTTAATAAATCTATATAATTACACAGTATCATCTTTTATAGAAAAACGGAGGAAATTCGGATTAAAAGTTGGCGATGTTTAAATTACAGTGTTTTTAAACATGTGTTATGACTGTAGCTTTGATAAATTAGTTAAATAGATGAAAATTACACACAGTCTGACAATTTTACTTTGTGTTTTTTCAAGACAATTAAAAATAAAAGCATTGTTCACCAATTGGCAAAAAATACTGCCAAATTGGGAAAAAATGAACTAGTTTTAAATTGGGAATGGGGCCGAATTACGGCCCCTGAGAAGGTACTGATAAATCCCTGTTATCCATAGGTGTAACCGTGTCTGCTAGGTCGATCAGGGTTGAGCATAAACTCTCCAATATTACAGTATGAATTTAGCCAATTGAGACATTGCAATTGGAGAAAGGGATCGTGCATCCAAGATTTTATTCACTTTTCCATGCAGAAAAAGTTCTTTAAGTGTGTGTCATTGCTTTCAGTGAGGAATTACCTTGTTACATGACAGAACCGCCATTTTTGGTTAGCACATGTGTTTATTTTCGATCACCTAAATGTTTGTAAAGGTCTCATATATTTATAAGCGCTTATTCGACTAAGATGCATTCTAAAATTTAAAACCCACCAGTTCAGCTGAGAAAAATCCGGAAAAATATGTCGGAAAAAGACAGATTGGTGAAAATTAGGGTCGGCGGAATCGTAAACCAAACGAAAAAAAAAACTTTGGCCTTACTGTAATTGCACATCTTAATAACAATGTCTTATTTTAATGTTGTCATGAACAAAATGAGCAGGAACTTCAAAATAATCTCGCTTGCACTTTTGAGTTGTAAAGTGCAGGACAAAAAATCCAATGTCTAACACACAATTATTATGTTTTATTTGTAATCAGCACTTTTAACAAGAAAGATGAGTAGGAATGTATTAATGTATATTTGATCTCCAAAACAACAGCTTAAACACTGCACTTCTTCAAAATAGCACTGTAAAATCAACAAAAAGCAATCAATAACACCAGTTCCACACATTCATAAGGTATATAACTACACAGTTTATTATATTGTAGTCAGTTTATAAACTGAGTATTGATAAGAAAAACTGCAGATAAAAAAAATATTTTCCTATGGTCTAAGTTTCAAATTCCTCTATTGAATTGATTCAAAATGAATTCTGGTAAAAAAAAAAAAATAAAGTAAATATTTATCACAAATTGCATAGTACAAACTAAATGTGTACATATTTAGGGAATGTTGTACAATCTATAAAAAATAAAATGACTCAAATCAGTATAATAAATACAGTCAAACTTAGATATCTCAAACTTGAAGGGGCTGAGAAAAAATTCAGAAATAACCAAGGATTCTAGATATCAAGGTTCAAATACATAAGTACATGTACTGTCATTGGCTGGTGCTTCCAACTCATTCAACATACTCATGGTATTTGAAATATCGAAGTTCAACTGTATATAGTATTACATAAAGGTAAACATAATGAGGAATGTACTTTGCATAAATATGAAAAATATTGCCTGAATACCAAATAGATAAAAAAAAATGAAAATATAATGAGATTCACAAAAAATACATCACAGAAAACAATCTCATGGGTTGTAATTAGTATACACTTCAGTAATTTTAATTTCTACTTCCTAGATACATGTAATCATGATATCCTTAAAGGGGCCTGGACACAGTTGCATTGTTTACTTTTTAAATTTCTCTGTTTATTCAAAAAAAATAATAACTTCAGTTTAATGAATTGATCTTACATGAATATTCTTAAAATTCAAAGACAACAACATTCTTCATATCATCGCAACAAACATATGTCTTTGTAAACAGGGCATGAGCTCTGTTAGTGTTACCAGGTGTGTTCAATTTGTTTAGTCTGCTCACATCATTGCATGAGCATGGATTGACAATACTGGTGAGTTGGTTTTGCTCTCTCGCATTTCTTCTCTGAACTTTCTGGATTATATGTACAGTTTTCATATTTTTCATTAAAATAAATACACAAATTTCTACTTTTTTAAGTAAAATGGATAAAATTTACTTTGTGAAAGTGCAAGGATATGTGTAAATCAAATGCATCCAGAAATTCATAGTTTTATAATTTCCATTTAAAAGAAGTTTCTAAACATGCTTTGAATACATTTCGATGTGAAATGCTCTAGCAATTAACATATAAGCCATGATATTATTTAGAAAATTTTGGAAAATATGAGCTTCAAATCTGTGTCCAAGCCCCTTTAAAAGGAGTTCAGTAATAAAAATAATGCATATTTAAGTTAGATGGATATACGTATAAACTTAAAAGTACTTTTTGATTCCCACCAATGTCTGAATCCTAATTGGTGTGCATGTACAAGACTACATCTAAGCTAAGGAATGTTTAATTCAAACAAAAAAACACTGCTTTACTTTCAAATACATTAATTGCAATGGAATGTCAATAGTAGAAAATAAATACGAAAAAATGTGGAATGTTCGATACCAATACAATGCCAATTTCACAAGCTTAATATCTCTCAAAAAGTTTAATGAATATTTAAATCTAAACAAAAAAGATTCAATGATACATTTCGATTAAATCAATTTAGTATTACATGTATAACATGATTAAAAATACATGTATATATTACATGAAGCTATGTAAAATGAGATTCTTGGGGGGAAAGGTTCAAAATAAAAGTATAAATGTATGAAAATTGTTCATGACTTAAGTTTGAGATTCTTTGCAGAGATTTTGAGACAGTGTATATTTGACTTACTTTTCAGCCTTTTTTCTTTTAAAATGTATATTCAAAACAAATAGACAAATTCTTATCCAAAATCTAAACAAATTGCTGATATACACAAAACAAAATAAACATATAACTGTAGATCTTGTAGTGACCTTCAAGCAATGACCTTGAGTTTACGACCTATTTCTATAAATGCATCAACAGCACGGTCTACTTCTGCCTCAGAGTGGGCAGCTGATAGCTGTACTCGAATCCTAGCCTTACCTACAAAAGGAACAAGACTTAGTGTTAAAATTTTTTTTATATAATAAATATAATCTTTTTTTCTGTATTTAAGACATTAAGTTTTTTTTTAAAAAAAAAGTATTCCCTAGAATATATTACACACAGAAAACTTACCCTTCGGCACCACAGGGTAGCTGAATCCAATCACATAGATCCCCCTCTCTACAAATATTGTCAATAACATACAAAATAAATATAGAAAAAATATGTTAACTAATCCAGCAAAATAAATACATCTCTTTAAAATACCTAGCATTTCATCAGCAAATATGTTGGCAAGCCGTGCATCTCCTAGCATCACTGGACATATGGGATGTTCAGGATCGCCCTGTAACATAATAATACATACTGATAAAACATCACTGACAAATAATCCTCAAACAAAGCACTTTTTTTCTATTTCAAATGTGTATAAAACTACATGTAAATGTATATGATACAATTAAATGATTTGTTCTAAAAAGGAAACTCACGGAGAGATTGAATCCTGCATCTGACATACGAGAGCGGAATCGCTTTGTGTTACGTAGCACCTGCTGGGGAAGGTCGGTATTACTGGTGATCAAATCAATGGCCTGAAACACAATAGGATTGCTTATTAAACAGAAAACTTCAAAGAATTAACAAATCTCTTATGAATCGTAGCTCTACTTGTTTTGTACTAACAAGAAGATAATACAGGCAGATACATGTAAATGTATACATTCCCACAGAACCCCTCACCCTGGGGCCAGAAATTTCAAAATTTTGGAAGAGGCACCCTTGATCATCATAACCATGCACCTAATTTATCTTCTTTATATACAGGGAGAGAGGAGAAGATTTTTAAAGAATTTATGCATTTTCACTATATGATCAATAGAGCTCACCCTAACACCAGAACCCCTGACCTAGGGGCTATGAAATTCACAATTTTGGAAGATGCACCTTTCTTCATCATAACTATGTACTTAGTAAATCAGCTTAATGCCCAGGAGCAGAGAAGATTTTCAAAGAAATAATGCACTTTCATTATATGATCAATAGAGCCCCCTCCCACAGAGCCCCTAACCCTGGGGCCAGAAATTTCAAAATTTTGGAAGAGGCACCCTTAATCATCATAACCATGCACCTAATTTATCTTCTTTATATACAGGGGGAGAGGAGAAGATTTTTAAAGAATTTATGCATTTTCACTATATGATCAATAGCACCCCGTCCTAACACCAGAACCCCTGATCCAGGGGCCATTAAATTCACAATTTTGGAAGAGGCACCCTTGATCATCATAACCATGCATCTAGTTTATCTTCTTTATATACAAGGGGAGAGAATTCATTAGAGCCTTGCCCTAACACTAGAACCCCTGAGCCAGGGGCCATGCAATTCAGAATTTTAGAAGAGGCCCCCCTAAACATCATAACTATGTACATGTACTTACTTCATCGACTTAATACCCAGGAGCAGAGGAGAAGATTTTCAAAGAATTAATGCATTTTCACTAAATAATCATTAGCGCCCCACCCTAACACCAAAACCCCTGACCCAGGGGCCATGAAATTCACAGTTTTGGAAGAGGTAAACTTCCTAATATAACTATGCATTAATTTGTTTGCATATCAAGGAGCAGAGGAGAAGATATTTTAAGAAATAATGCATTTTCACTATATATTCAACAGAGCCTCACCCTAGCACCAAAACCCCTGACCCTGGGGCCATGAATTTCAAAATTTTGGTAAAGGGCTCAATGCTTATTACAATCATGCCAAAAGTTTGATTGCTTGACGTCCAGGAGTAAGGAAAAAGATTTTTTTAAAGATAGCACTAATTTTGATGATTTAAGCCCCATCCCCCATGCCCCAGGGGATCAGGGACCATGAAATTCACAAATTTTGTTCCCCTTTACCCATAGATGCCATATGCTAAAATTTGCTGAAATTGGTTCTGCTGTTTTAGAGAATAAGCTGAAAATGTTCAAATGTTAACACACGATGGACGACTGATGAGGGACGAAAACGGATAGTCACCTTAGTGACTCAGGTCAGGTGACCTAAAAATGTTTCTATATAAATCTATACTAAAATTAACAAGAGGCCCATGGGCCACAACGCTCACCTGAGTAACTTTGGCATTGCTGTTTTTCACTTGATTTCTCCCCTTGTAGTACCTATTGTGGCCCCACCCTACCCCCGTGGGTCATGATTTGAACAATTTAGAATCTACACTACCCCAAGATGCTTCCATTGAAGTTTCAGCTTTTCTGACCCAGTGGTTCTTGAGAAGAAGATTTTTAAAGATATTTTATACATATTTCAATGTAAAAATTGGATTCCCTATTGTGGCCCTGCCCCCCCCCCCCCCCCCCCCCCCCGGGTCATGATTTAAACAATTTAGAATATACACTACCCCAGGATGCTTTCACATAAGTTTCAGGTTTTCTGGCCCAGTGGTTCTTGAGAAGAAGATTTTAAAAGATATTTTCTACATATTTCAATCTAAAACTTGGATTCCTTATTGTGGCCCCGCCCTATCCCGGGGGTCATGATTTAAACAATTTAGAATCTACACTACCCCAAGATGCTTCCACATAAGTTTCAGCTCTTCTGGCCCAGTTGTTCTTGAGAAGAAGATTTTTTAATGACCCCACCCTATTTTTGTCTTTTCTTGATTATCTCCCCTTGGAAGGGGGCTTAGTCCTTCATTTTAACAATTTAAACTCCCCTTTACCCAAGGATGCTTTGTACTATGTTTGGTTAAAATTGGTTGGGTGGTCCTTGAGAAGAAGTTGAAAATGTGAAAAGTTTACAGACGGACGGACGACGGACAATGGGTGATCAGAAAAGCTCACTTGAGCTTTCAGCTTAGGTGAGCTAAAAAGTCTAACATTTCCCATGGTTTTTCTGAGCGGTCAAAAAAATCAATGTTGAACCGCTGAATGAAATACTGGACATTGGAACGACGTTTTTAACGTTACACAGTCACTGTATAGGCGGGATTAGCTACTAGTATATCTTTTCAATTATCGCAAATACGGAAGCCAGATATGTAAAATGTATGTAAAAATGAGAAGTAAATGTTTAACAAAACATTTATTGACTGTGTACTCGAGCAAAATAGGGTTTGTCAACCCCTTGAACCAATCTATTTGCATGAGGCCTAAGGGCCTCATGCAGGCAAAGAGTTTGGCTCTTGGGTCCGACAAATCTTATGTTGCCCTTGAATGTATACATGTTATAAGCCCTCTTTCTATTAGCTACTATATGGAAACACTGATCATCAGGGGAAGAAGATGTAGAGAATTATGTATCTTTTTGTAGCCTACTTGTATTCTACGCTTTAATGCAATCAGACCAAAATCATATATATAGAAAATTTTGCACTTTGAAAGAATTTTACAGAAATTCAGTTCTATTTTCAGTAACCATGGCAGCACAACTCAGCAAACTCAAAAACCAATATAAAGGTATTATCTATCTTGAAGTAATCTATAATTTGTATACCAAGATGAATTCTAATTGAACAAAAACTTTGGAGAAGTCTATATAGCATGTTAAAAACAAGAGGCCCATGGGCCACATCACTCACCTGAGCACATTGGCAAGGCAAAAGCACAAATCAGTTCAGTATTGAAAAGATTAGGGGGAGGAAGCTTGAATTTTTAACTACCTGATGGTGCTTCCATGTCAATATAACAAATGGCTTTGTTGTACTTGAGAAGATTTTTAAAAAATTTTCCCATATATTCCTTTGTAAAAATTTGATCCCCCATTGTGGCTCCTCCCTATCCCAGGGGTCATCATTTGAACAAACTTGAATCTACACTACCTGAGGATGCTTCCATATCAATATGACTAAACATAGCTTTTCTGTTCTTGAGAAGAAATTTTTTTCTATATGTTCTTATGTAAAACTTTCGATCCCCCTATTGGGCCCCACCCTACCCTCGGGGGTCATCATTTGAACAAAATTGAATTTACACTCCCTGAGGATGCTTCCATATCAAAATGACTAAACATGATTTTCAGTTCTTGAGAAGAAGATATTTTCCTATATGTTCCTATGTAAAATTTTCGATCCCCCATTATGGCCCATCCCTATCCCCTGGGGTCATCATTTTAACAAACTTGAATCTACACTACCAGAGGATGCTTCCATATCAAAATGACTAATCATGGCTTTGCAGTTCTTGATCAAAAGATATTTTCCTATATATTTCTATTTCAGACTTTTATCCTCCATTGTGGCCCCACGCTAACCCAGGGGGTCATGATTTGAACAAACTTGAATCTACACTACCTGAGGATACTTCCACATAAATATGATCAATCAGGGCTTTGCTGTTCCTGAGAAGAAAAATTTTAAAGATTTTTCCTATATATTTCTATGTAAAACTTTGATCCTCCATTGTGGCCCCGCCCTACCCTTGGGGGGTCAGGATTTGAACAAACTTGAA